CGTTCTTTATTAAAATCGCTTCAACACATTGTCTAAACAAAGTGCATTAAATGGAGATCAATCGCAACTTATAAACTTTAGTTTTTACATTCGCCGCCTAGACCGCGCCTCGCTCTTTTGTGAAATCCTCACCTCACAAGTTAGTTAAGCATAACAAGATAAATCAAACAAACGCGCATCTGTTCAATATTGCGGGACGCAGCGCCGCCTACACCGTGTCATAAAAGCAATATAAATCCTGCAATACGTCAGCTAAACAAGGTTTCCGAAGCATTTATCAAAATAATATAAAGACACCGCCGCCAACATCACCTTACATTTATTAAAGAATACTGTTTTTACAGCAATTTCTAAATTTTCAAAAATTAGTTAAATTTTTTAAAATGTAAGCACAGTTGTTTTTATGCTTAGAGCAGTGTTGATTTTCAAACTGTCAAACTTTAATTGATTAAGAATGTCTATTTGGTGTTCTAATTAATCATATAATGTTATCATTTTTTCGGGTAAGTGGCCGTAGGGCATGTGTTTTTCGAGCGTCTATCGCATTCGGGCAAGGGTCCATTTGGGCATTTGTCGCATTCGGGCAAGTGTTCATTCGGGAAAACGGCCTTCGTGCAAACGGCATTCGGGCTAGTGTCTTTATCAATATTTTAATTACACCGAGCTTTGACCATATGACGTTTGACCCTAGATACTTTGTCCACAGCGGGGCTTTGACAACCTGTGCACAACTTATGACAAAAACCATTGTGGTCTTAATCAGCAGTGATCAAATCACTCGTGATCAGAGCACACGCAGCAATTTATTTTAATGTGCTACTTAAAGCCGTTGATGGTTCTTGGTCACTCAATAAATAAATATTAAAATTATTTCCATAAACAGCTTACTTTTTAACAATACTTCAACAAGCATTTTAATGACTAAGATACTTTGGCAAAGGAGTTTTGAATAAAGATTTCATTCTTTTCTTCCTAGACCCCTTCCCCTCCCAAGAATAGAGTGGTCGTAGATAAAGAATATTGCAATTAAGTAAAGTACGCAGAAAGTGTGACCCAGAAGTTTGTTTCCTCCTTTAGTTTGGTGCGTGGACAAATTATAATACGTTAGAGCATTAATGTCGTGATCAAATCACGGCCTCTAGCGTTATGCTATTTCGATATCACGCTACTTATACGTACAAATCTATATATTTTACATTGTTCATATTTAAATGTAATGTGAAGATAGATATATAACAATTTGGGAACATCATTTTTATATTAAAAAAAAACACAAGCTATCGCAGCTTTTAGACTCAGTATTGTGTACGGCTTCAATAACCAATATTCCAACGGACAGCAATGAGTTAGGCAAAAAGTCTTCCGTCAGTATGGTCGAATAGATAAAAATCAATAAGGTTTTTTTCTGTTGTTGTTGTGTCAATTTTGCTGACAAAATTAAATTCTTGAGCCTAAAATCTTTTCAGAAATTTAATCTTTAAATAATCAATATTGATATTTTAATAATCAACACTTTAGTATTTACAAAAATAAATTCCCAGGTCAAATATGCAATATTGTAATCATTTTGGCATTGAACAAAAATTATTTAGGGTCAAAAACGTTTTTAAAGTATCCCGTCTGCTATTGCTAATATCAATGTAAGAATATTATTTCTCCATTGTCACGTGAAAATCTAATTGTTTTTTGTTTTTTGTTTTTTTGCTTTTTGTTGTTTTGTTATTGAAATCGCTACCAGCAGACAAATCTTTATTAAAGTCCCGACACACAGATCCCCTTGCATCAGCCGTGCTTGTACAACACGTCTTGATACACAGATCCCCTTGACTTGTCCAATACGTCCCGGCACACAGATTCTTCTCGTTGTATTCTAGTCCTCCACAAATGAGGTAATTCACGTTGATACTTGATACAGGATCAATGTTTATACACACATCTTTAGTTTCTTCCTGCCGGCGCCATGTTGTTAACGGTTCACTGTCAAGGTTGCGCCGACGTCGCATACACAGCTGACAAAGGTCTTCAGAATATTCGGCTGACTAACGGTGCACAATCAGAAATGTCCGTAGTGGAATTAATCTTTGTAGTCTCCATAGGTACGTTCTATTAGTAGAACTATCCAGCGAATGTGCTGTACTGATACGACGTATATCGATGATTATCTGGTTCCTATATACTTCCACCGGTCCTCACAACACGGGTAAACTTTAGAAAAGATTCTTGTTTCAAGTCGGATTTTCAGACAAAACGAGCCTTCATAGGACGGTCGTTGGGCTATCTATCTTTGTTTCGCTTGCTCCACCATGTTACTTTGCTCGTCTCCAATACCAGGGAGAGAGTATTAAACTTTGAGAACCACTAAGGTTGTCTTACATTCAGACAAATCAACGACGTTTAGAAATAACATGAACTAAATACTTCTTGTACGAACTTTTATTACTGTATTCACGTATCTATCTTCCTAGAACCTATCTCTCAACTTGAGTCATGCCAACCTGCACACGTCCTTTCGACGATCGAGATTCACTCCTCACACATAAACTCATAGCAACCAACTCTCTACCCTACAACGTCACTATCTTTCGTACCGCGTCATCATACCAATGTGTTCACTATGTTCTCCGCACCAACCTGCATTCAATTCAATATCTACTAAACATACATCATAACACTTAGTTCATCTTTTTTTAAATACTAAATGGACCTTTCGAGTATTTTTAAACTGTAATTCATTGTTTTGCATTCGCCATGTTAGTAATCAAATCCTTAGGGTGAGATATTAATCTAGTTAATAAGATAAACACATGGCATTTATATTTAAAAATCTCATATTTCTACTTTGGCTCTAGTTTCAGAAATGAACACCATTGGGAAGTTTCCATTGCGGAACTGTCAGGCAGGAGATAGGGCAATTCTTTTGTTCACCAGTATGGCGGATTGGAGGGACAAGGTCAGGCTGAAAAACGTGATCCAGCTTTTTGTTCCAACATCGAGACACGAACCTTTGAAAAACAGAATCGCGGTTATTTTATGTTTCCAGAATCACACTTTTAAAGCATTAATGAACTTTACTAATGACTTTAGCGCCGATGACGTATTATACGCAGTTGATAATACGACATCCGTGAAAAAGACGGGAATAGGTAGCATTAACATCGTTTTGGATTATTCTCTGGGATACTTCAGACAGTATCAATACGTCATTTCCAACAGAGAAAAATTGGTTGTGGTTTTATCGCGAAACGAATGGGCCACATACGTCCTACATGAAAAACAACTTCTTTATGAGTACCGCAACATGTTACTGTATGTTATACTGATATCCAATGTGAAAAACTACGATACATGTCCGTTTAACGAGGTTTATGATGAAGACACGTTTAGATTGAATCATTACATTGGGATTGGTATGTGTAGCCGATGTCTGCAAGGATGGGTTCTGTTTGATCAACCTCCGTTACGTTCGTGCTACAAAATTGAGCTCAGTAACAGTTCCACGTCACACGATCAAGCCGAAAAGACATGTAAAAGTAAGAGCTCAGCGCTAGTTGTCATACAAACAGAGACGGAACTAAATTTCTTGAAACAGCTCATCTCTGAGTATTTGCTGAAATATTACGGCCATCTAACCGATGTTTCGTTGTATACTGGGATGTCTTTCAACCACGGAGCAGCGAATAAAGTTCAGTGGATAAACGGCCGCCCTAGCATTTTTACTTTGCCTGGCTTAGGTAGCAGTTTGAACCAAGAGAGCTGGTACAATGTGCGATTCGAAAAAGTCAACGATGATGTTTACAATACTTCCTGGGAAATTCTCGACGAAGACAATGAAAAACCAAAACTCATACTTTGTGAAACTGAAATTATCAACAAAACAAAATTAGAAAAAGTTAAAAAACTTGCCGACATAGAGAGTAAGAAAAGGTACTGATATTTTTATATATTTCTTTGTACTAACTGTAGCCGGTAGCTTATATAATTTATAAATGCTACTAATAAAACCATTGTTATTTTGTACTATATTTTTGTATTAATGAAGATTACTTTTCTCAATGCAACCTTTGGAGAGGCGTCGTACTATTATCTGTACCTACCAAGGTACTCACGAGTATTATGCTAGAGATGCTGAAAGAGGCATTGGACAAGAAATTAAGACCGAACAAACAGTTTTTCGCCAGATTATTCACTGGCCACACAGCCACTGTACGTATATCTATTGAACAGTCAATTGAGTGACGATCAACTCTCTACGTGATCTTTATTGATTTTGAGAAGACATTTGATAGCGTGAACAGAGATGTTTGGAAGTTGAATGAACCACTATAGGATCCTTTCGAAATGCATCAAAATCATCTAACATCTATATGAAGACTCAAACTATCAGATTATCCACAATAACAAGTTTACCGAGACTTTTTCAGGTAAATCGAAGTAAGGCAAGATTCCAAGCTTTTGTTGATGATTTTTTTTTAAAAGTCTGACTGGATTAAAGAAGAACAACCTCAGACCAAAACACTGGAGTCAAGGAAACCCTCACTAAACATCTGGAGGACCTAGGAGATAATGATGACATCAGTCTCCTTTCCAACAAACACAGTCAAAGTTGCGAGACTCTGTGAAGAAACAATTTAGACAAGCTTACAGATCAACTGCAAAACATAGAGGTGATGATAATTCACAACAAACATGAGCTCCTACTTAACCTAAAAAATTAATATTTGGATCAATAGTGGTTCAATTCACATATCTTGGAAGTATAGTAGGCAAGGGTGGGGGAACAGATGACACATTAAAACCCACATCACCAAGGTCAGATGGCATTCAACAACCTCCGTACAACCTGGAAGTCGAGATAACACTATCTACGCTTTCCAAAACACAATTGTTTAACAGTCATGTGAAATCTGTTCTCTTCTATGGTTCTCATTCCGTGAAGAGTAACACAAACTAATTATAACAAATCTCAGACTTTCTTTAGCAGATGGCTGAAAATAGTACCAATGACGAACTCTGTGGAAAAAGGGTAAGACCATATTGGCAAAGGTATATTGAATAAGCAAATAGGGATGGATGGGACACACCTTACGTAAACCAACTAGCAACCTAGCAACATCACCCGACAGATGGATAGGATTCCCACAGAAAGTGGAAAGTAGGTAGATCATGAGAAAACGTGATGCTGTTGCTGCTGTTGTTGATAATGATGTTGTTGTTGATGATGATGATGATGATGATGATGATGGTGATGATGACGATGACGATGACGATGATGATGATTTTTTTTTTATTATTTTCAGTTTTTTTTTCTCTACTTTAATATCTACCCAAAATTGTTTTCCAGTGGACGAAACATTTTCAGAAATATTTTATATTATTCCAACACCACAAACAAAAATTACTTTATTTTTTCTTCTTCCAGAGAACTACCATTCACATTTTCAAATCAGAATCCAGACACATCAATGTTGTTTGACTGTTCAGAGAAGAAACAACTTGAAGCTGGGGTTCAGCTCATCCCTTTTGGATACGTGTGCGACACGAAATATGATTGTAAAACGTATCGAGACGAAAATCTTTGTTTATATACAGACAATAACTACTGTGCCAGCCGTCTCTTTTGTCCAGCCTCCCTGTGGTTTAACAATGCAAGAGATACGTGTCTAAAGAAAGAACAGATTTGTGACGGCGTGCAAGACTGCCTGGACAGCAGTGATGAGGAGAACTGTATCGACTGTATGGAGACCCTGACAGCAGATGGGACGTGTTTACCCAGCTTGTGGTTTTACAACGGCTCTAAACCATTCCAGCAACGCTACGTTCTTACTAGCAGAAATTCTACAGAGTTCGGCGTCAAGGCAACATGCCATAATAAAACGATATGTTTCCTTGACAACGAACCAGGCAAGCCTCTAACACAATGCGATAAGACAAATGACTTGGATTCAAAACTTGAGGGAGAACCAAATAGTTGGGCACCAAGGTGTGTTTACCTTAGAGGTCGGATATCAAAACAGATGTTTGGCTGCACTGATCTATCACACTTAGAAAACTGTGAAAGTTTTCAATGTGGAGTGAGCTTTTTCAAATGTGATTTGTCCTACTGTATACCAATATACCTGGTCAATGACGGAAACAAAGACTGTCCTTTGGGTGACGATGAACTGGATTTTATTTTGGAGGACAGGCAGATAATTACCGATGACTTAGTCCCATGTAGAAAACCTGGTACGTATGTCCACACTGTCCACGTATGTGATGGCCGCGACCAATGTGCAAATCGCGAAGACGAGCTGCTGTGTCATGAGAAATGTCCGTCTGGTTTTACGTGTCTATGGGGAGCTGCTCAAGTCACGAATCACAGCGCAGTTGACTTCATGCAACTTTTTCAGTCCATTGACAAGAGAACAGCTGCAATTAAAGCGTCAGGTCTAGACTTATCTAAAGCTTACATACCCCAATCAACAACGTTACCAAAACTTTTAGAACTGTATTTATCAAATTGTAATCTCAACGACAAAAATCTGATGCAGCTTTTAGTTTCGTTTAAAAATAGCCTCTACAACACTTACCTGCTTGACCTGAGCTACAACAAAATCAACTTCAACAACTTTGAGAAGTTTTCTCCTTTTTTAAGAAATCTGCACTATTTAAATTTATCCCACACATCTGTAATTAATGTTCATGTACCAATATTTTTCATTCCAAATATCCATACCATTGATCTATCCTTTACACCTCTTTTATCTTTACGCCTTGCATATTCTAAAGATATCGCACTGAAATATTTAAATCTTAGTTTTACCAAACTCAGTCAACCCGATTGGTTTGAT